AACCTCAGGAACGTGCACGTCACACACACAACCTCAGGAACGTGCACATCTCGCACACAACCTCAGGAACGTGCACGTCTCGCACACAACCTCAGGAACGTGCACGTCTCGCACACAACCTCAGGAACGTGCACGTCTCACACACACAACCTCAGGAACGTGCACATCACACACACAACCTCAGGAACGTGCACGTCTCACACACACACTCTCAGGAACGTGCACATCACACACACAACCTCAGGAACGTGCACGTCACACACACAACCTGGGCCTCATCCATCCATTATCTTTACCCGTTTGTTCCATTTTGGGTCACGGGGGTCGCTGGTGTCCATGTCCAGCAATCACTGTGCGAGGGGCGGGGGACACCCTGGACAGGTCTCCAGTCCATCACAGGGACACATGGAGACAAACGAGACAAACAACCATTCACTCTCTCACTCACACCTAGGGACAATTTAGAGTTACCAATCAGCCTAACATGCATGTTTTTAGTCTGTGAGGAAACTGGAGCACCCGGAGAAAACCCACGCATGCACAGAGAGAACATGCAAACTCCACCCAGAAAGGCCCCTGGACCGGGGTTTGAACCAGGGACCTGCTCACTGAGAGGCAGCAGCTCTACCAGTTGTGCCACTGTGCTGCCCACCTGGGCCTCATGATGAGTATTTCTATTTTAAATTTTTATTTTTCATTTATCTTTATTGGCAGCACGGTGGCGCAACTGGTAGAGCTGCTGCCTCTCAGTGAGAAGGTCCCTGGTTCAAACCCCGGTCCAGGGGCCTTTCTGGGTGGAGTTTGCATGTTCTCTCCGTGCATGCGTGGGTTTTCTCCGGGTACTCCGGTTTCCTCCCACAGACCAAAAACATGCATGTTAGGCTGATTGGTAACTCTAAATTGTCCCTAGGTGTGAGTGAGAGAGTGAATGGTTGTTTGTCTCGTTTGTCTCTATGTGTCCCTGTGATGGACTTGCGACCTGTCCAGGGTGTACCCCGCCCCTCGCACAGTGATTGCTGGACATGGGCACCAGCGACCCCCGTGACCCAAAATGGAACAAACGGGTAAAGAAAATGGATGGATGGATTTATCTTTATTTATCCAGGTCGACTCACTGAGTCACGAGAACTCATTTTCTAGAGAGACCTGTTTAGGAGCAGGTGGTGGGGGTCCAGAGGACCAGATTTAACTTTTTTAGATTTTTCTACCTGGATTATTGAGCATGCATCAGGATGTGTCATAATAATATTTTATTAGTGTTAATGTTAACCCCACCAAGAATATTTAAAAACACTGAACCATGTGTTCATCTTTAATGTCTGTTCTCCTGAGATTTACAGAGGAACAAACGGTGAGAATGAGTTTAGATTCAGCTCTGACTGATTCAACACAGATTCTTCATGTCTCCTGAGAAACAGGTCACACTGAGTGGAGCGGGCGACCGTTCCAAGATGGCGGCCCTACAGCTCGTCAGCGCCAACAGGTGATAGAGGTCAATGCTGGATCTAGTGATTATATATCTATGGATAGATATAGAGAGATGCATGCAAAGGAAAACAGAGGTATCCAAAATGTGTAGAAGATCACAGGATAGAAGAATGTAAAGAAGAAACGGAGAGATGTAACTGTGGAGGCCAACATAGAGCTACATGGGGGTGGGGGGGGTTAAGTGAGAAAAACAGCAAAAGAAATCCATCAGATCAAACTGACTAAAAACACAACATATGCAGAGGAAGTGAAAAGTGTAAGAGGACAAGTCAAGAGAGACAGGATGAGAGACAAAACCAAGAGACAGGACAGAGAACCAGAATCCAGAGCAAAGGAAACAGCAGACAGAGGAAAACATGTCAGTCGAAAATCTAATGCTATTCATTGCATAACTGTCACTGCACTGACCAGGCCAAACATGAGAGAAAATTAAAATGATTGTGGGAGGATCTGAAAAGTTTTTGGGGTTCAAAGAGGGTTCTCTGTGAACTCTGCGATTGTGTTCAACTGTCTGTAAACAAACCATTTTATTCCAGTAATGAGGACAGATTGGACTGTCCTCTGAGACGTGTCCCCTGAGTCCCTGCCGGTGTGAGCTGTGAGGTGGATCCAGTGGATCTA